TGTAATTGTCAACGCTAATATGGCCTTCTCTGGCCGATAAAAGGGACTTCCGAAACCTCCCCTAGGGAAATCCCCATTAGATCATTTGAAGCTCTCTATGCCCATTATAAACAGAAGAGCTCTCTCTCTCTCTCTCTCTCTCAACACACAACCAAGAACACACAAGCAGAAGCAGAGTATTACACCGAGGGACGAAGCTAGAAAAAAAAGTATGACGGGATCATATATTTGGCAGTGGGTTCATCCTTCTATAAATGTTGGTGATTAGTATCAGACTAGTGAAGGATTTTCAAATTTCATTGGGGTCAATTGACCCCAATGCTAATAAGGCGGCTCCGTTCCTGATCACACCTCGTGGTACCCTGAACCTTGGTAAATTACCTCTGCGATGAGAAGTGACTTAAGTGTTTTGAACCCTAGCCGAACAATCTAGGAGTGCTCTCTAAACTTCGGTCTCGATTATCACCCGTCAACAGGCACCTTATACCATGCACACAAACTAACTGAAAACGACACCTCCGAAGCTAGTCAACCTCCCACTAGCATCGTACACAAGAGGTCGTGACCGCTATTAGGAGGGCGGGGGCTCTTAGGCACGTATGAAGAAGCAAGCATCCCACGAGACAATGAGTCATAAGCTTCACATGGCAGGCCGCCGACCAACATCGATGGCCACGTTGTCCTTGTATGACAACAAAGATAATGCCCTCGACCCCGTTGAAGCTTTGGGGGTGCCGCCCCGACTTTCCACCCTCGACACCACCTTCCGAGGTCGTCACCCTGACCTACCGGCGCCCACCCTCAAGCTACAGTGTTGCACAACCCGACTACATCCATCACGAGGCGCACTTCTTAATTGAGTCAGTGTTTTGCCAAAATCCAAACCTTTTGCTTGGGTGAATAATTGATGAGAATAAAGTAGTTGGCTATTTTTTCGATAGAAGGTAATATATTAATATCAAAACAATACCAATTACTTATGGCCTCTGCACTGCCACAATTTCAAGATCTAATCAAGACATCGAGGATGCACACAACCAAATACGATAAAATAAGAAGGAAAGTGAAGAAAGCCGACACGGGCTAACGACTTGCGACTGACCAACAACAACTGTCGGTGAATCTTGGTGATGTGTAATCAGAACTGACGGTGAATTTTTTTTCTGAATGCACACACGAGCGATTTCTAAAGACATGTTGTTATAGTGGTGGCCTATTATTATTGGAGGGTCCCCTTTGTTCCTTCGCCACAAGCTGCGAATTCAAAACGAAGGAACAAACATTGTGTCAAAAGGTAGGGCCAGGAGCTGTTGGTACTTGGTAGGTGTTGACTTGGGGATAACTCTCCGAAATCAGAACTGGCAATCCAGAGTTCTACTACACCTCAGTTCTTTTACAGAAGTTCTTCTGCGTTTCTACTGGTTAGCGGCACTGTTCTCCTCTGCAGTTTCTTTTTTGCTTGCCTTTCTCTGTGGACTTGACACCACATTCAATTAGGACATGTACAATGGCGGCATATGGATACATATGTCCCATGACAAAAATTAATTTGAGGTATCTATATTTTTTTTTCTCTCTAATGCAAGCTATCATTAGTGGGCCTCATTAAGAAGTAGAAAATAAAAATTTAGTACATATGCATCTCTACTTTTCACTCAACCTTTTCAGCTTTTGTCACCGGACCACACTTTTTCTCTCAATCACCCGCCTCCTAGAAAGGATCCCGCTTCCCTATCCGATCCTACTTTACGTCATATCCGATTCTATATGGCATGCGAGGTATCACCTTAAGGCTACGCATTGTACATGCCCTTGTGCCTAATGCCTACCCACATGGCCACAACTGCTTAATTTCCTGTGAGAAAACAAGAGATTAGCACCGTTCATGATGATGTCTCGCTCTCATGTCTAATCATCGGTACATAAATTCCTCCAACACGAGGATTATCATCATCCATGGTTTTGGACAGGTCTCAATAGACAAGTTTTAGGGCTTAGACAGACAAATCTTAGACAAGATCGAATTAGATGCTCTCCAGATAGAGGTAGCGAAACATCGCCCTTGTAACATAGTTTATCATCATTATCAATATCAATCGAGCAAGATGTCGGCTTCTATCTCCTTCGTGAGGAGGCGAACCTAGGTAAAATATCGCGTCTTTCGTCCCGTTAAACCCCATTCAAGCTACCACTTGCGTTGGCCTCACGACGAAGTCTTCATGGTAGGACATCTGTCGTGACAAAACCACAACAAGGCGCAGTTGTCACCATTCGTATAAATCCCCATTATATTATTTGGAGCTCCCTATGCCCATTGTAAACAGAAGAGCTCTCTCTCTCTCTCTCTCTCTCTCTCTCTCTCTCTCTCTCTCTCTCTCTCTCTCTCTCACTACAGAAGCAAGAACACACAAAGCAGAAGCAGAGTATTACACCGAGGACGAAGCTAGGAAAAAAAGTATGACGGGGTCATGTATTTGGCAGTGGGTTCATCCTTCTATAAATGTGAGTTATTAGTACCAAATCAGTGAAGGATTTTCAAATTTCATTGGGGTCAACTGACTCCAATGCCAATAAAGCAGCTCTGTCCCTGATTACACCTCGTGGTGCCCTGAACCTTGGTAAATTACCTTTGCGTCTGAGAAGTGACTTAACTGTTTTGACCCCTCGCCGAACAATCTAGGAGTACTCTTTGAACTCCAATCTCGATGATCACCCGTCGACACGCACCTTATACCATGCACACAAACTAACAGAAAACAACAACACCGAAGCTACTCAACCTCCCACTAGCATCGTACACAAGCGATCGTGACCACTATTAGGAGAGCGGGGACTCTTAGGCGCGGATGAAGAAGCAAGCATCCCATGAGACAACGCGTCATAAGCTTCCCATGGCAGGCCGCCGACCAACATCGATGGCCACGTTGTCCTCGCATGACAACAAAAATAATGCCCTCATACCTGTCGAAGTTTTGCGGATGTCGCCCCGACTTTCCACCCTCGACATCACCTTCCGAGGTCATCACCCTGACCTACCGGCGCCCACCCTCAAGCTACAGTGTTGCACAACCTGACTACATCCATCACGAGGCGTACTTCTTAATTGAGTCGGTGCTTCACCGAAATCCAAACCTTTGCCTGGGTGAATAATTGATGACAAAATAAACTAGTGGGCTAATTTTTTCAATCGAAGATAGTATATTAATATCAAGACAAAACGATAAAATTAGAAGGAAAAATAAAGAAGGCCGACATGGGCCAACGACTTGCGACTGACCAGCAACAACCGACGGTGAATCTTAGTGATGTGTAATCAGAACTGACGGTGATTTTTTCTTTCTAAAGACGTGTTGTTATAGCGGTGGCCTATCATTATTGGAGGCCCCCCTTTGTTCCTTCGCCAGAAGCTGCGGATTCAAAACGAACGAACAGACATTGTGTCAAAAGGTAGGGCCGGGAGCTGTTGGTAGGTGTTGACTTGGGATAACCCTCTCATCAATCTGAACTGGGCAATCCAGAGTTCTGCACCTCAGTTCTTTTAAAGTTCTTCTGCACTTCTACTGGTACGCGGCACTATTCCCGTCAGCAGTCGTGTTTCTTTTTTGTTTGCCCTTTCTCTTTGGACTTGACACCACCTTTAAATTTTAATTATGCCTAACGGCTAATGCCTACCCACATGGCCACAGCTGCTTAATTTCCCGTGAGAAAACAAGAGATTAGCACCGTTCATGATGTCTGCTCCAACACGAGGTACATAAATTCCTCCAACACGAGGATTATCACCATCGATGGTGTCTGCTCCGGTAGAGTACATTCCGGGTACTACCTTCGTCTTTGTTTATTAGTCTCTTATGTAATTTATGCTAAATTTTGATTAAAGATCTAACAGATAAAATCAAACAAAAATTATATCATTGCATTCGTATTTGAACATAGTTTTCAATGATATAATTTTGTGATATGCATGAACTTTTTGTTAGTTAATTTATGATTAAAATTTGGCATAGATTACAATGAAGACCAATAAGCAGCGTATCTTTCTTCCACCGAGTGGTGTTCAGTTAATAAACACTTAAACTCCACAGTCCCAACCAATCAACCGACAATTCCACGATTGAAATCCAGGCCAGAGAAAATTACTACTCGCTACTTGTCCAGTTGATGAGAAGAAAGAGAATCTTTGCAAGAAAAGCTCAGATGAGAATCTTGGGAGAGGCAGATGGGTGATGCGCCTGCTTGCATCATGCAACGAGCAAGTCTCTACGCTACCACCAGTAACAAACACATCAACACCTCAGCTCATCTCAGCTAGCTCTAAGGCTCTGATCATGCCGGTTACTAGCATCCAACCCCCATCAGTTTTAAACTCTGGGAATGTCAGATCCGCCAGCTTATCTTAACCCGGATTATTCCGCGGTGGCGATGCGGCGAGCTCGACGAAACAGTTGTGACAGTTCGCAGTGTACCTGAAACCATTATACTACGCCCGGGAACAGCTCAGGGCGTCAGCAGCTTGCTGCCGAGCCCGATCGATCCATCCACCCAGCATCCCATCGCATGCACGCAGCATCACGCTCACACACCCCGACGGAATCCCGCAACAGTGTCCCCATGTTGCCGCGCTGCGTCCTCCCTGGTTTCTCATTAGATTAATCGACAATATACGTGTGCCGATGCAGGGTTTGGTCGCCTAATCGCGCATGGAATTAGCAGACAGCCCTTGCAAAACGAGAGATTCAAGGTGTGATTGAGTTCTTGGGCAAAATTTGCAAAGAATTTGCGAGTTGCATGTGCTGCGTAGGTACATAGCTTATCTACACTTGTATGAGAACCTTTGTGGTGATTCACACACGAAGAAAGAAAGAATACAGATCGAGGAGGGCGAACCAAGCGGGAGCAAACGAATGAAACTGTTCTCTTTCCTTCTTTTTTCTTCTACTGCCAAAGTGGCCAGCATGCCATGCATGTGCGCGCGGGAGAGCGAGCTGCGTCGTCGGCCGTCAGTTGGCGGCGGCGGTGGCGCTCCGGCCGCGGTTGGAGTTCGACGAGGAGTAGCTGCTGAGCTTGCGGCTGATGGAGTGGATGGCCGGGTTGGACCGGAAGTAGCCGAAGAGGCTGTTGCGGTGGAACGGCAGCGGCGTCGTCGTCCTCCGCCGCATCTCCTCGGCCGCCGCCCGGCTCACCGTGTACGGCGCCATGTCGCTGGCCGACGCCGCCGAGCCCCGCCCCTTCCGCATCGACGCGTCGCCGCCGCTCTTGAGCATGCTGTACTTGAGCAGCGGGTCCTTGCCGGCGGTGGCGCGGCCCTCCGACGCGCTGCGGAACAGGAACAGGTCCTTGAGCCGCCACTTCCGGCTGCCGCTCCCGCACCCGCGCATCAGGGAGGCGGCGCCGCGCGGGGAGGGTGGGGAGGAGCAGAACTCGTCGTCGATCGGGTCGCCCCTGTACGGGGAGAGAGACCGCGTGGCCCTCCGGCTCCGGGACGACACGCCCGACGAGGACGACGCGGGGGCCGGCCGGCCGGACCTGCCCCTCGTCTGGCCCTGATCGGCCGACGCCTCAGCCCGATCCCCTGCGCCGCCGCCGCGCACCGCGGACATCGTCCTCGCTCTTCTCGGCGACCGGGGGGAGACGGAGAGGGAGGCGTGGTCCTCGTCGGCGAGCAGGCCGCCGCTGCAGCGGGGGCCGTTAAGCGGCCGGATCCTGCCGCCCTCGAACAGCTCGTCGGCGGCGGCGAGGATGGGCGTGGACTCCCTGAGCTGGCCGCTGAACCCGAAGGCGAAGTCGAACGTCCCGGCGTCGCCCTGCTCGTCCGCGGCGTAGCTGCTGGCCCTGGACGGGCTGGTGGGGGCGCTGGAGAAGAAGTAGCAGTAGCTAGGTAAATGGCTGCCGCCGCCGCCGCCCATGGCAGCCGCGGTTCTTGGGCTGCACGGCGCGCTCGGCGCCATGACAGGAACCGCCACCTCCATATCTCTCTCTCTAGCTACGGCTCCTCCGCCACACCTCTCTCCTCACTCCCCGCCCCTGCTCCTCTCCTCTTCTTCTGCTACACTTCTTTAAAGATAGATGCCTCCGGATTTTGCTTATGTAGGTGTCCGGAGATGGAGATTGGAGAGGGAGAGGGAGAGAGGAAGGTAGGAGGAAGCTGGATCGATCGTAGGGGGTGGGGGAATGGTTGAAGGGAGAGTGGGGGGAGGGTACGTTAAAAGCCGTCGCCGAGACATCGACCATGTGGTCTTATGCGCAACTTGCTCGTTTTCAATTCGATTGACATCAACAGTTCGTTAGAGAATTAGCTGCTTGGAGGTTTGAAAATAACACGCTCTTTTTGTTCCCGTGCATGCAGCCGCGAGCACGGTAAAGAGACCGCATGAATTGGTTGGTGAATGTGTGTGTAGCGAGAGGAATGGTATTTGTTTTAGTGATCATACAAAACCGTTTGGAATAAGCGGGTAACTATCTTAAAAAAAACAATCAGCAACTCAAAAAAATTAGTGAAAGGTAAATAAAAATTTAGAGAGATTAAGGGTTCAAAATTTGCCTCCTCAAAATTTGTTGTTCTTTTTTATGACACCCGGGAGAATCCAGGCCACTTAGGGATGCAAGTGGACGCATCCGCGTCGCCGCGAGGCCCTAAGTACACTAATCTTTGTCACTTTGATTTTTCATGCCAGGCTTAATTCACGTGACGCCATCCGCTTGCATGTCGAAAACCACTGTCTAATGTTGAATGAAATGAAAAAACTATTGCAAAGAAATATCTTCTTAAGCTTCTAGCCTAGTAGAACACATACCGAAAGCAAAGGGCCGCTATAAGATTTATTAAAGTTGGTGAAGAAAATACCAAATTTCTGCAATCAAAGGAAGCAATGAAATACAGTAGAAATCATATTGCAACGCTTTAAGATGAGCAAGGCAAAGAACACAAAGAACGTTAGACCAAAACAACAATCTTATGCATAGCTTTCAAATAGAGGCATGGTAGTGTGAAAAATGCCAACGGAGGCCGAGCTCCAGTGAGCTCGTTTTCAATTTTTATTTTTTTGGAGCGCGAAAAATTCCATATTTATTTTTTGAACACACATGCACATGTATACTATGTATATGCAAAATTTCACAGTATTATACGTTTACATGTGGCGTACACGAAAAAGACAAATACACATTTTTTAATGGGCCTTTTATTTTTGTTATTGGGCCAGAAATTTGTTATTTTTGTACAGCCTACAAATCACAACATTGTTTCGACGAAATTTGACACATTCTTGCGGAATACATAAAAGTTTTCATGGTATTATTTTCAGATTTTTCTGGAACTTTTAAATACGCTTTTTGATTTTTTTTTCAAAATACCGAGCTCACTGGAGCTCGGCCTCCAAAAATCCGCACTCCATGGTAGTGTCCCTACATATAACTTTTTCAGCTTGGACTTATTGATTACTAGACATAATGATCTTCAAGCTCTAAAAGAACCTTCCTCCAAAGAGAAAACGGATGCAGTGATCAAGGAACTCCCCTTGATAAACCTCCAGGCCCTAATGGCTTCAATCTGATTTCATCAAACACTATTGGGATATAACTTCTCCAAAATTTTACAAGCTCATTGCACCGACAAAATTAATTCATCTTACATCACTTTGACTCCTAAGAAAGGTTCTCCTGCTACTGCCAATGATTTTAGGCATATTTCTCTGCTGAAATGCACACTAAATGGCATTGTCAAGTCGTTGGCCAAAAGAATGCAAAAAATTGTGTTGAAGCTGGCACACACAAATCAATATGGATTCACTAATTCAAGATTACTTGGTCTGGGCATATGGATACATCCATCTATGTCATTAGTCAAAGAAGGATGTTGTGATTCTAAAACTAGATTTTAAAGAAATTCTTACTGCTAGAGGATTTGGACCTAGATGAATGACATGGCTAGACATGATATACTCCTTCGGTTTTTCCTCTCTTATGATAAAAGGGGTGTATGGGAAACAATTTTTATGCAAGAAAGTTGTCAGTCAGGGTGGCCCTTTATCCCCTCTAATATATTTGCTAGTTGTTGATATCCCTCAATCGATTCTAAATGAGGCAATGTAACAAACTTGATTTTGCCCCCCCCCCCCCAACACAAATACCAGCACAGAATTCCCAATAATTCAGTATGCAGATGATATGGTTCTAGTTATGTCAGCCCGCTATACATAATTACAACAACCTAGGAATCTCCTTCTGTATTGCTCTGTTTACACTGGTCTCAAAGTGAATTATGAAAAACCTATCATGGGACCAATCAATATTCTAGTAAATCCACCTGAGGCCGGTGAATCGTCCTAGCCACCCAAGAAGCTTGCTGAAGTCTTGTAGTAATTTGATATGCAACTCCAGAAGCTGAGATCCGATAAGAGGAAGAAGAAAGAGGATGGCAACCGTGAAAGCCATCTTCATATTCCTCTGATCACCAGGAACCACATCGGGATCTATGCACCTTCTTGTACTCTTGCCATGGTTGCATTAAAAAGACGAACGAACGGCTCCTGATCCAGCCAGATATTGCGTTCCCATTGTATTATCGAGAGGGAGCTCGAGCCCTTGCTGATACGTCTCCAACGTATCTATAATTTTTGATTGTTCCATGCTATTATATTATCTATTTTGGATGTTTAATGGGCTTTAATATGCCTTTTTATATTATTTTTGGGACTAACCTACTAACCAAAGGCCCAGTGCAAACTGCTGTTTTTTTGTCTATTTCAGTGTTTCGTAGAAAAGGAATATCCAACGGAATCCAAATGGGATGAAACCTTCGGGAGAGTTATTTTTGGAACAAACGCAATCTAGGAGACTTGGAGTGGACATCAAGGAAGAAACAAGGCGGCCACGAGGTAGGAGGGCGCGCCCAGGGTGGGTAGGCGCGCCTCCCATCCTCGTGGGCCCCTCGTGGCTCCACCGACCTACTTCTTTCTCCTATATATACTCATATACCCCGAAAATATCCGAGAGCACCACAACACCCTATTTCCACCACCGCAACCTTCTGTACCCGTGAGATCCCATCTTGGGGCCTTTTCCGGCGCTCCGCCAGAGGGGGAATCGATCACGGAGGGATTCTACATCAACACCATAGCCTCTCCGATGATGTGTGAGTAGTTTACCAAAGACCTTCGGGTCCATAATTATTAGCTAGATGGCTTCTTCTCTCTCTTTGGATCTCAATATAAAGTTCTCCTCGATTCTCTTGGAGATCTATTCGATGTAATTCTTTTTGCGGTATGTTTCTCGAGATCCGATGAATTGTGGGTTTATGATCAAGATTATCTATGAACAATATTTGATTCTTCTGTGAATTCTTTTATGCATGATTTAATATCTTTGCAAGTCTCTTCGAATTATCAGTTTGGTTTGGCCTACTAGATTGATCTTTCTTGCAATGGGTGAAGTGCTTAGCTTTGGTTCAATCTTGCGGTGTCCTTTGATACGTCTCCAACGTATCTATAATTTATGAAGTATTCATACTATTATATTATCAACCTTGGATGTTTTATATGCATTTATATGCTATTTTATATGATTTTTGGGACTAACCTATTAACCTAGAGCCTAGTGCCAGCTTCTATTTTTCCTTGTTTTAGAGTATCGCAGAAAAGGAAACCAAACGGAGTCCAATTGACCTGAAACTTGACGGAGCTTATTTTTGGACCAGAAGAAGGCCATGGAGTAAAAGAGTTGGGCCAGAAGAGTCCCGGGCTGCCCACGAGGGTGGGAGGCGCCCCCCTGGGCGCGCCCCCTACCTCATGGACAGCCCGGAGACCCCCCTGACTTGTTCTCGACACCAAAACCCTTTATATATACAGAAACCTCCAGAAATTAACCTAGACCAGAAGTTCCGCCGCCGCAAGCCTCTATAGCCACGAGAAATCAATGTAGGCCCCTCCGGCCCTGCCGGAGGGGGCCATCATCATCGGAGGCTATGGAGGAGGATCTCGGAGGGGCCATCATCACCATGAAGGCCAAGGACCAGAGGGAGAACCTCTCTCCATCTAGGGGAAGGCCATGGAGGAGGAAGCACAAGGGGGAGAGTCTCTCCTCCTCTCTCTCGGTGGTACCGGAGTGCCATCGGGAGGGGAATCATCGTCGCGGTGATCGTCTTCATCAACATCATCATCCTCATCTCTTTTACGCGGTCCACTCTCCCGCACCCCGCTGTAATCCCTACTTAAATACGGTGCTTTATGCCACATATTATGATCCAATGATGTGTTGCCATCCTATGATGCTTTGAGTAGATATCCTTTGTCTTTGGGTTGATTGATGATCTAGATTGGTATGAGTTGTATGTTTTACTTTGGTGCTGTCCTATGGTACCCTTCGTGTCGCGCAAGCGTGAGGGATTGCCGCTGTAGGGTGTTGCAATATGTCCATGGTTTGCTTATTGTCTGCGTTGCGTGAGTGACTGAAATACAAACACGGATAAACGGGACACGACGTATGGGAATAAAGAGGACTTGATACTTTAATGTTATGGTTAGGTTTTACCTTAATGATCTTTAGTAGTTGCAGATACTTGCTAGAGTTCCAATCATAAGTGCATATGATCCAAGAAGAGAAAGTATGTTAGCTTACGCCTCTCCCTCATATGAAACTGCAATAGTGATTATCGGTCTTGTTAACAATTGCCTAGGACAATTCCGCACACCGATCCATCATTATTCCACACTCGCTATTTATAATATTTAGTAATATATTCTAACTTTATGATAACAGCACCTACTTTAATATTTTAGCTCTCCCATATAATACAACATTATCCACTTCATACCCACAACGTAGTTTTATTTCTCGTTTCTAGTTGTAAGCAAATGTTCGATGTACGTAGAGTGGTATCAGTGGTAGATGGGGCTTGAGAGAATATTGATCTTACCTTTAGCTCCTTGTGGGTTCGACACTCCATACTTATCACTTCCACCTTTGGAAATTG